AGATCCATCTTCGTGTAAGTAAACATTCTTCTCTCCACTAAGGGACAATCCCCGTCATACAATCATTGAGCAGTGTCATCATAGGGTGTGTTACTGTGTTACTGAAGGACAAACACACCATTCAGTCAGAAGGGCTCTGCATGATGAAGGTGGTATCACTATTGATACTGTCTCTTCCCCAGCAGTGCTGTACTAAGTGTGTTTTTTTTTTCCAAATGACAGTCAAGCTGACAGTTCCCTTGAATGCTCTACAGGTGTCTAAGTTCCAACTCACACCCATCTTCACACTTTCATTACTAACATCTCTAAATAGAAATGTTATTTTTGTTTTACTTTGTCAATGTGATGAAGTGTGTTGGCCCATCCATCTCATAATTTGCAGAGTTTAGCATTTTGTACATTTTTATACCACTACATAAAATTCATTAACCTCTACTTTGTAAATGCTCAGAGTCTACACCCTTTCTTCAATGATTCACCTTTATATTCTTCAAATCACAGGCACCATAGGTTCCCATTCAAATTTTTAAAAATGCCGTTTCACTTAGAATACACAAGGGGCATGTCCTTTGGAGGCCATGGGAAGAACGCTGTGCTTGGGATGTGGCTTAACTGTGCCCTGCCCAGCCAGTGGTGGGCAATTGTTCACTCATTATGACAGCTTGGAGGGGATTTGGGGGTCTTTTAAGATGTGTTTGTGACCAACTCTAACCATAGAAACTTTCCAATTGAGGCTTGTAAAAACTCTGATAAGACATGTGAGTTCCTATACACGTGCTGGAGTAAATGACAGATCAGAAAGCTTTAAATCCCAGTCCTCATTAAAATGTTTGCCCTGTTCCCCTCATACATCAACCTCTTCCATTAATATTTGTTACTTATCTCTAAGTACTTGATTTTCTTTGATGGTGAACTCCCATCATAAGAAGCAACATCAAGCATTTTTAATTGTCTTCTGAAATTTTGTGATTAAAGAATAAGTGTATTATTATGACACTCAATACCTTGTGGCCACAATGAAGTTACATATACAGCATATCATCTGTATAGCTTTCCTTCAAATTATAATAAAAGATACAAAATTGAACAGAGTCTGAATTCAATTGTCCAGATTTACCACATCCTAATCCCATGATCTAATTACTTTTATTAGTAGTATCTCTGAATACAAACTTATTTTGCTTGTTGATATGTCCATATGAAATGGATCTACAGACTGTCTAAGGAAATGCAGAATTCTACATATGGAACTCATTCTTCTTCTCTCTCATCCAGGAAATTTGTTCTTTACTTATGTTCTTATAACATACATGCTCACAGATCATTTTTTTATGATTTCTACTTTTGTTATTAATGCTACAGACATTTTAGGTATTTATTAGTAATATGAAGCTTAATCTCATAGGAAATGGTCAAGGGCATGAATTTGATGGGTGTGGCGACAGTAACCTGATTTGAATTTGTTTGAACTCTTTCCTCCCCTATGCTTCAAGTGATTGGTGCTTGTTCCTCATGGTAGAAATTTGGAAATTTTGTGTGAGTTTTAATAGCCAAAGCTTAGGGGATGCCCCTGGGAATATTGAGGCCATAGTCTCTGATGGCAGGTCGGAGAGATGGCTAACTGTTTTAAGTGCATACTATTCTTGAAAATGAGGCCTTGGTTCATTTCCAAGCATGCATGTACAGCAGCTCTCAACAACCTGGAATCCAAATGGAGAGGATCTGAAGCTCTCTTCTTATCTCATTGGGCATTTGCACATACCCCACACATATAAATAATTTTAAATGAAACAAGTCTTTTATAATGAAGATGTATTTGGCTCAAGGAAAGAATTTTCTGATATGCTATAAAGGACTGAAAATTAAAGAGAAACACAATGAAATACCAGAATATGTTCACTGAATTGTAAAAGTATCAACAACACCAAGTTCTGGATAGAAGGTGCAGCTGGAGTTCTTACACATAGTGAGTGGAACACAAGTCTACAGACACTTATGTGATCAGGTAAGATTTCCCAACAATAAATAACAGAGGCTTATCATTGGAATTATCAAACAAGCTCCTAAGAATTCATCAAATTAAGTTAAAATATACTGCCATGAAATTTTCTACACAAGTACCAGGAGCTAAAGCCCATTGACAGAGCCTTACCTAGAGACTTACTTAGCATGCATAAGGCCCTGGAATCCATCATCAGCACCTCAGAAGCATTATTTTAAAAGTTGCCCCCTCTTAATTCCTTTGCCAATCTAGAAGTGATCAGAATGTTCCACACAGGTAAGTAGATAAGTAAATAATGGAACATCTACATAAAGGAAAGAACATTTACTATCATTAATACATGAACACACTATGAGAAGTCATGCAAGAAGCCTAAACAATAACAGAATGACATTGGTCTAATAGAGCCTGTAATCTTTCAGTTAAGTAAATGCTGTGAGACAAAACTCATAGCTGTGGTTGGCAACCTGTTAGCTGAAACCCCTTGGGATGATGTATATCAGATATACTCCACATCAGGTATTAGATTACAAATCACAATAGTAGCAACATTACAGTTATAAAGTAGCAACAAAATAATTTTATGGTTTGAGGGTCACCACAACATGGGGAACTGTATTAAAGTGTGAAAACAATAGGAATATTCAGAAGCACTGCCCTATAGTGAGAGCAAAAAAGACTGGTCTTTTCTGGGAGTGATGGCAGGAAATGAGAGGACACAGGATGGATAGAGGATCATCAGTGCTAATATACATATGAGTCTGAGAACAAATGCATGCATTTGCTTTTCTCAAATCTATTGAACTGGATTTGGGTTACCCAAGCCCTGTGGTGTCTTGCCAGGTACTGTTGCCTTCTCCCTGGCCCTCTCCCTCCCTGTGAGAATCATATCTCAGCCTGTTCCCCACAAGTGACTGTCTAGTCATAATGTGTGTCTGGAGGTTCGAGGCTCATCACCATTTTCACACACATATAACCTATAACATCTTATATACTGCTTCAATTTATGTCCTGTGGTTTTTAAGATTTTACTTTTAGTCATGTGTATGTGTCTCTATTCACCCATGCAAGTGGCTGCCTGCAGAGGCCAGAAGATTAGCAGATTCCCAGTATCTAGAGTAACACGTGGTTGAAAGCAGTCTCACATTAGGTCTGGAAACCAAATTTCAGGAGATTGCAAACGAGCAGTAAGTGTTTCCAACACCCGAGCACTCTCTACAGCCCTGTACACTGTTTATGTTTAAAAAATAAAAGGGGAAAGTGCAAATCTATAATGCAAAGAAAATGACTAGAAAGGGCAATGGGAACTCACAGAACATTAAAGAAGAACTTTATATCTCGGTTTGTTTGGAGTCTCTCTTGTTTGTACTTCAATTGATATTCTCAAATGTTCCAACATTTAAAATTAACATAGAATTCTATAGAAAATATAATTTAAATATAGGTAAGCCACGTATTAAAATTTTGAGTCCCTAAAAACTATGTAAATGTGACAAAAGTTTTGTTACAACAAGAACAAATTTGACCTGAGGTACCAGATTCACCAGAGATAAAGGAAGAGGAATGAAGAGGAAAGACATGTTATGGGATTATAATCAATGCTTTGAAATGGAGCCATGGGAAGACAACCTACTCACACTTTAACTGTGCTCAGACGTTGGGCTTTAAAGTAGAAACTGAACATTTAAAGTATTGAAATTTTTCAGGAGTTTTGGACTTTTAAGGTTGGATTTTTATAGTATAATGTTACTAGGATATTTTAAGGACAAGAATGGACAGGGAATGATTTAACAGTGAGTAACAGTGAGTTTTTTTTTATTCAACACTGATATTTTATTTTCTGAAGTTTATCATAATTTTACAAAACAGAACAAAACAAAAAAGCAGGTATCAAAAACAGCAGTTTACATAATTTCTGCACTGGTTCTCACCTCAGTCAGTGACTCTGGAACTGGTGTCTTGTGTAAAGACTAGCCAGGCTGATTCCCTCTCGAACATGTGCGTTCATGTGATTGCTCTTAGCTGCTTCATAATAGTAACTTTTTACAAGCACCGGTCATTTTTGAGAACCAATTTGGTTTGTCCAACAAAGTAAACACTTTTTTTTTTTTTCTGTGTGGCATTTTTCTTTCTTAAAAAACACTGAGCTGAAACACAGACTATGTATTTGTTTGGATCAGAACCAAATTTTCTGAGCTCCCCATTACCTGAAGAACACTGAAGACATCACTGGGCATATGAAATGACAGTGAATACCTGTGGAAATGTCTAAGGCAGCGATCTTGCTTCTGAAGAAAGTAGGATTTCATCCAGAGGCTGATAGAGTTTGAATTACATCAGTTTTCGATGTTTTTTCTCTGACTTGGGATGGTTTCCCCAGACAGCCTTATTATCAGAAGGAAAATGTGATGCTTGTGTCAAAGAGGTGCTGTATTTTGCAAATACATTTATTTAGAGCAAGACTGCTTGCTCTGGACCCTGGGTCACCACAAAGAGATTGAGAGGCCATGATAATTGGAGGCTAACAGGAAGTAGCACACTTACACTCACAGCATCATCTGGAGGCAAGCAGAAATAAAGCTGGAAACTGGTAGTGGGACTCACCCACTACTTGCTCTGGAAACACGTTTTGCTTAAATAAGGGAAGTGTGGTCCATTTTTGCAATGTTAATAGCTGCCAGTCTCTCATTTTTAAAAATAAAGATCACTTTCTGACTAGCATGAGTTAGGAAACTGGCCTCAAATTTGATCATATCTCTCAGTGTTGGTTAAAAACAAAGTAAAACCCTTAAACTAGCCAAAAGAGTTAAAAATTGCACAAACTTGAATATAAATTACAGAATGGTATATATATTATCGACATGATTATGAAAGGATCAAACACTCCCATTAAAACAAAATTTTCTTCACATTATTTCAATTTTCATTAAGGAAACTGATATGTAATTTTCTTCTTTATAGATATGAAAAAGGAAACAGGAAAGCAAAGCTGAGAGAAACAGATGCTACCCACAGAGCAGTGGTGCCATTTGGTTGTTTTGGTCTTTGTACCAGCAACTCCCACTGCTGTGAACGCCGTCCAGTTCCAGCTGGAGGATTACACAGTTTTTCTTGCAGGCAAAACACGAACGATGGACCCTACTCCTCCAGGAGCAAGTGCTTTTTCATGCCACTGTAGCAACATAGCTCTGCTACTGTCGGATGGGCTCTCGAAGCCTTTATAAATATACTTCATTAGCAGGTCCACACCATTCTTGTCCAGAGACTGAATGGCCTTTTCAATATCATTAGCTTTAAAAGAGATGAGCACTTTCAAGACAATGCTGCCTGCCCGGTCCTTCACGGCCTGACTCTTCATGTTTCCTTGTCGCAGGCATGAGTCCACCTCGCCCTCGTCGGGCCCGGCTTGGCCATCGCTGCCGTCCTCCTGGTCCACGAACTTGTTCTCATCATATTCGTCCACGTCCACCTTCCGGAAGCGGGCCGAAGACACCGTGTTCTTCGACATCCTGGATTGCGACGCGATGATGGCCTCCCCTTGGCGGTGCCTCTTCGCCTTTCCCAGTGAGATGTTTGTATGTCAAATTGGCAAGGGATCAATTTTCCTAGTGAACTTCAGTTGTCAGATTGATACAACCTAGGTTCAACTGAGAGGATGCATGTCAATTAGCAAATTACTTAAATCAGATTGGGTTATGGACTTGTCTTTGGGTGGGTGGCCTGATCCTCTGTGACAGGCATGATTCTTAAGCTAGAGCCCTGAACTGTATGGGAACGCTAGCTAAGCATGAAGGAATGAGCTGTAAACAGTCTTCTCTGTGGTTGCTGCCCCAGGTCCTGCTTTAGTTTCTGTCATGACTGCTTCAGTGATGGACACATGGAAGTGGAAGACAGATAAATCCTTTCTTCTCATCAGCTGCTTTTTATCAGAGTAACTCACCAAGCCGCAGTAAAAGAAACCAGAACATTATCCAAATGACTTATTTAGGAAACATTCATTAATTTGCAGAAGCACTCGAAAGACAACTAAAATGTAAGAAGATCAAGGACATAGGATATACTATTCAGTTGTTCTAATGCAATGACACAGGTGTTAACACGGGATAGAAAAAGTTTCATTTCATAAACATTGAAAGAAAATGCTATAAACATTAACAATCTCATCTAAGTCTCACCAGTTGATCCCATATAACAAGCACAAGGGAAGGAAGACCAGCACAGTTAGTGCAGTGATCACATACAACCTGGGCACCTTTGTGAATCACAGAGGACCCTGGAAAGCAGGGTCAGGCTGGACCCTGAAAAAAGCACAAATACAATTAAGCAAGCAAAATGATGAAATCTATGCTCTTTTGCCTCCCAGACCAAAACCATTAGAGAAGAAACCATAAGACTCCATTCTTGGATGCTCTAGAGCAGAGGCAATGCCCATTGAGGGATTCACATGGCAGCTGGTATGTGTCTCCAGCTTCCTCAGAGATACCAGATGAGCCACAAAACAGACAAGCAGCACTTAGCACTAATAATGTCAAGCAGGTTCAGACCTGCAAGGTAAGAAAAAGTGAACAAAACTTTCAAATAATTGGGGATGATGGTGTAAATTAGCATTTTCTTTCAACATTTGTGAAATGAAACCTTTTCTATCCTGTATGAACACCTGAGTCATTGCATTAGAGCAACTGAATAGTATATATTCAGTGATAATATATATTCTGCAGTGAATACAAAGTCTTAAAACAGAGAAAAGAGAAGTAGGCCCTGACCGGTCGAAGATGTACACAGATAAGGCATTCCTGTGCATGTCGAAGCCCAGAAACCACAACATTGACATTTCCTGCTACCCCCAACCAGGGAAATGATGATGACAAAAAAATTCAGGGTAAGTTCCTGGTGTCACAAGATGTGGTTAGAATGTAGTAACTTCTATTTACTGTGGTAATATCAGTCCTGCAGGTTGGGCTAGTTGGGCCCATGCTTAAAAACTCTCAATTAAACCTAGTGCAATGTAACCTCCTTGGAATCTAAGATAAGGACCCTAGTAAAACCTCCTAGTAATGGCAAATATGGAGCCTGAACTGTTCCTCTTCTGTAATTAGGCAAGGCTTCCAGTGGTGGTACTGGGACATGAATCCAGTCACAAAATCTTCTACCTACAATTTGTCCTGCCTGTGCAATATTCTGGGGGTAAAGGTGGCACAGAACTTGTGTTTGTGGCCCATCAGTAACTTGTCCAACTTGTCACACCATGAGAGGGAGCCATTCTTGACATTGTCCAGATGACCAGAAAGCAGAGGTTGTATACCCTAGAGACTTAGGATAGAACCAAAGACAAGTAGAAAAAAAGCCAATGAAACATTTCCTAGTGACATTCTACTATACTCAGAGACCTGAGCCTAGCATAATATTCATCAGCAACTGATGGGAACAGATGCAGAGACCCACAGTCAAACATTAGGCAGAGCTCAAAGAACCCTATTTGGTAAATGGGGAGGAAGGATTGTAGAAGCCAGAGGGTTTGAAGCTATCACAAGAACACTCTGCACAGAGTCAATTAAGCATGACTCATAAGGGTTCACAGAGACTGAAGGAACAATTAGGAAGAATGTAAGCTATGTCTTCTGTATATATGTTATGATTGTGTATCTTGGTGTTCTTATGGGACTCCTAAAAGTGGGACCAGGAGCTCGGAATCTTTTGTTTGATTTTGGTACCCTTTTACTCCTAGTTGGTTGCCTCAGTCAGCCTTGATATGAGGATATGAGCCTAGTTTGGGGAAATGGTTTCAAGACAGGGTTTCTGCCTAGTTTTATTATAGCTTGTTATGCTTTGTTTGGTTGATATCCCTTGGAATTCTGCCATTTTCTAAAGGGAAAAAGAGGAAGAGTGGATCTGGAGGAGAAGAGAGATGAAGTGCAGGAGGAAATGGGAGGATTGGAGCAAGGGAAAAATACAGTGGGGATTTAATATCTGAGAGATTAAAAAAGGATAAAAAGAACTCTCCAGTAGTGTTTCCCAAAAGAATATTAAGACAAGAGCACATGTTCTGTATATTCTGACTTGTAGAACCACACTGACTGGTGGAGATGATTGTCCCTAATTCATAAACAAGGAAACCAGGAATGCAGAAATTAAGAAATGTATAAAACCCTGAAATTACTTCAAATTTCTTTCAAATCCAATTTATATTGGACTTGGGCTTTATGCAAAACATGTCCTCTGCTGTAGTAAGACTCCAGTGTAGCCACTCAACAGCTGAGAATGAATGAGAAGGAAACAGGACTCTGAATCCAACTTTCCTTTTCTCATTGAACTCAGGTTTCTTCCCAGGTACAGGTGTATGGAATGTGCAGCATGACCAATGGCTGTCCTGAGTCACTGTGATAGATATCAAGTGGGAAAATCAATGGTAATATTTTGTGTGTGATCTAACAAACAAGGCTTACCTGAAAATCAGAGTGTGCAGCTAAGCCACTAGTTAGCTGTAGAGGCCAGGCACTGGTGGTGTACACCTTCAATCCCAGGACTCAGGAGGCAGAGGCAGCTGGATTTCTATGAGTTCAAGGCCACCCTGTGCTACACTAGATTGATCCATGTGGCATCTTAGATTAATGAAGACAAATTGTAATAAATATTTGCACAACTTTAATGGAAAAACCAGATTCACGAAACCAAGGTTTCCTTGGAGCACAGGAAACAGGAAGGGAAGCGCAGGCTTCTGCATGAGCAATTTATCAGCAAACATTCGCCAGAGGCAAGTCCACCCCCTTAGGGGCTGGCCTAACCCTACAGATCCAGTCTAAAAGACAAACAGAGCCAGGTGGTAGTGGCTCATACTTTAATCCCAGTACTTGGGGCCACATTCTTTTAATCCCAGCACTAGGGAAGTGGAGACAGGAAAGGATATGGCTGGGCAGAGAGAGGAACATAAGTTGGGTGGAGAAAGGAACTCATGGCATTCAGTCTGAGGATTAGTGGAGACAGGATCTTTCCCACTTTGGTCTGAGGTAAAAGGTCTCTCAAATGGCTGCTCCTTTACTTCTCTTATCTTCCAATATTTATCCTAGTATCTGAATCCAGGTTTTTATTATTTAGACCAATTAGAAATTATGTAACAAAAAACACATGAAAATCCTTAATGAGAATTATATTTTTTACTTTTCTGTTGTGATGAAAGGCAACTTGTGGATGAAAGGATTTGATTGGGTTTATGCTTCCAGAGACATACAGTCCACCAGTATGGGGAGGCAAGGCAGCAAGCAGCAGCCATGGAGAGAAAGCTGATCACTCACATCCCCATATGAAAACATGAATGAGAGTGAGCAAGAATGTCACTTGACAGGAGGCTTTTACACTCAAAGCCTCCCCACCCACCGATAAATACTTCCTCAGCAAGGCCAGTCCACCTAAACTTCCCCAACAGCACCATCAACTGGGACCAAGGGCTCAAATAGCTGAGGTGATAGAAAACAACAAAATTCAAGCCAGTGCAAGAGTCAGGGAGAGAATGTGATTTTTTATTAAGATTACCATGAGAAAAGTCAGACCTATTAGTGGGTTTCCATTTCTCATGCTGTAAACCAGAATGAAGGAAGGCTTTGGAGGATACCAAGGCATTTCCTGCTTTCTGTTACCTATGTCAGTGTGCAGCTCTCTACAAGCGTAGAGAGAACAGTTAATAGATTTGTGTTTAACTGATAAATAAATGAATCAAAGGCCAAACAGTAGTTGAAATTTTGTAAGAAATATTGAGCAAATATTCAAAATAAATTCAATTTTAGAAAACACTTGTAAAGATTGAAGGATTGCCATTATTTGTAAATGGAGACTGCTTCTGTTTCCTGGCAACCCAGACCCAAATAATTACAGAGAAACTATATTAATTATAACATTGTTTGGCCTGTTAGCTTAGGCTTCTAATTAACTAACTCTTAAATCTTTAATTAGCACATTTTTATTGATCTATGTATCAACACAAGGCTGTAGACTACTGGTAAGCTTCCAGCATCTTTCTCTCTGGGCACCTACATGACATCTGCCTTGACTCAACCTACTCTCTTGATATATCTGTTTGGATTTCCTGCCTGACTTTGCTAAGCCATTGATGAGGAAAGCCTTGTTAGCCAATAATCTTTAAGAGTTGGAATCTAGTTTAGGCATGGCTTTCTGGGACTGGGAGATAAAAACCTGTGCACTACCCAGGTGCTCTCTCTGTGTAGTTTCCCCCATGGTCAAGCAGAGCCTGGATCTTTTGTGCCTGTAGCATGTGTTTTCCCCTTATTGTAAAAAAACTGTATTTGTCTATCTTTAAGCTAGTCTGGTTATTTCCACATCTAGGTAACAGCAACAAGCCATTGGCCAAAACAACTTTATTCATCAATCAATAAAAGCAACACATATGCAGAAGAATGATATAGATATGAATAATTTGCATTGGTATGGATTTTATGGTCAATTTTGTTATATGTATATGTATTTTTGATCTTGATTAAGGTATTGTAATTGTGTAGTTCATTTAAAAATGTAATGTATAATTAGGAACTATAGGTTGTTAATGG